GCTGGCAACAGGAAGACGATGAAGAGCTTCTATTAGATGGGGAGAAAACCTTCAATTGCTGTAGAGAAAAGGTAGAAACAAGGACCTTGCAGAGGCTTTTCATACCCAGCATTAAAGTTAAAATCTAATTTAGATGAAAATGGATGCACACAAATTAAAGGCGCGAGTGAGGTTTTTGTTATTGTATACCTTGTAACGAGAGCGTTAACCAAATTTATTCCTTTGGCTTGAAAATAAAGATGCTTTTTGAAATTTGATTTTGTTGTTTTACAAATTGTTTTAGCTCTGTGAATAGTGCAAATTCCATTTTCTGATCTGCCCTGAACAAAAATAGAGCATTAAAGTGTTTAAGATTCAATCAAAGGCTCGCTGTGAGCACTGCAATATTAAAGTAACAGAAAAATCAATTCAATTTTTATTTTGAACATGATTGTCACAAATAGCATTCTAATAGATAACACTGATTATATGGTAGCAAATGTAATTTATACATACTGTCAGGGTCATCATTAAGGAATTTGACACATATGCAGGAAAACAATAAATGCCAACTGAAATATACACCAGTTAGATATAAATGAGATGCTGAAATGAGCAAGGCTGGCAAGCTCTATACTTATAAGTAATAATATGAAGTCTAAAGTAGCTTGTGTTTTCAAACAAGAAGTCTTTGTATGTTGTCATTTAAAATATCTCATATTTCTGAAGGTCAGGAATAAATGGTACTATTAGCATTAAAAGCTAGTAAAAGAAAAAGTAATTTGTTTTTCATTTAACATAACATTTTATGAAATGGCTTTGTAAAGTATTTATTATCCCTTCCCCACCTCAGTCCCCGCCATGGAAGCTAAGAAGACAGGATGAAGATGCCTGTTTCTTAATGTTATTTATTTATTTATTTTTATGGCACCACTGGTATTTTAACATCTTGAATTATTGAGATCTTTGTTGTATTATGTGTTTGTGCTGGGGCGGGCTAATGCTAAGAAATCAAACTGTCTAAACAACCGTGGATTTGCTTAGCTCCAGCAGGGTGTTGCTGTGGTCCTGAGCTTGGTCCTCATTAATAATACCATTTGGTACAGGGTTGACAGCATGATGCTGCGGACCGGTGCCAAGACTGAAGATGGGAGGCTTTGATGCTATACAAAGATGTACCCAAGAGAAAGAGGAAGGCAGGCTCTTCTTGCTGTGTGTCTCAGGAACAGTGACAGATACATCAGGATGTGAATTCAAACACAGACACGTGACTGTCTTGGAGGGTAATCAGCCATAGAAACCTACTCAGTTATCTTTTACCAGTGGCCTCTCGTAGCAGATATGAGTCCTGAACTCCAAAATATGATAAACTTCATCCATCTGTGCAACTGTGCAACCCTCTTAGCTTTTCTTGGTGTCTCTCTTTCCTTCTTTTAAATTTGGCTAAAAAATTAAAACTACTACTACAATAACAAAAAATAATATGAACAAACACCACTTTAATCATCACCTGGAATTAACTAAGATGAAACTTTTATCCTATTTTCGCCAAATCCTTTTATAACAAAATAAATATAATCTTATTGGTAATGAAGGGTTCTATATGCTCTTCTAGGCCATGCTTTGGTTTTTGTTTTTTTAAGGTTTTTATTATAGATTGTGTGAAAGTTTACAGGACAGATCATTATTTTTACATTCAACAAATCATATACCATGTTTCATTACAATGATTATTATCCTCTTCATGTACCATCAGTTAATAGTATTTCTCTCTATTCACTTTAGCTTAAAAACAAAACAAAAAAATTCAAGCATATATAATAATTTACACCTCCAAAGGGCACATTCTACAAGTCTGCCTCCTGGCCACCAGCTCTTTAGACCCTGTCTTCCCATGAATCTAGAGTCCTCAGCTGCTCCCCCTCTTTATGACTGCAACTCTGCCGCTGCTTCTCTGGATAAGGTCCCGCATTCTGCTTGTACTCTTCTCCCCTGATGGTCCTAGGTTAGGTCTTCTGTTTCTGGACTGTAAGATTAACCATTCCCCTGTTTTTGTTACAAAACTTCTACCTTTACAATTGTGA